CGTTAAGCGTCTGCCTTTCAGCTCAGATCATGATCCCAGGGTCCTGGGATCGAGCCCCGCTTCGGGCTCTCTGCTCAGTGGGAAGCCTGCTTCTCCCTCTCCCACTCCCCCTGCTTGTGTTCCCTCTCTCGCTGTGTCTCTGTCAAATACATAAAATCTTTAAAAATAAATAAATAAAACATAACAGTAGGAATTTAAAGTGCAGGAAGAGAAAAAAAACAAGTGGCCCAAATGGTCAGTTATTAAAATCAACCAAGAGCTCTAAAACAAAGGAAACTCAGTGCGGGGAGGTAACCTGGGTCTTTATCTAGTCCTGTGGCTGGCAATGTGTTTCTTTGAAATAGCCATCACTGAAGAGGATGTTTCTCTGCAGTGGATGCCTCCGCAGTCAAGGCTTAAGTCAGCACCTGCATTACAAAAAGAAGAAAGAGAAAAGGAAAAACAACCCAACTCTCAGGGTTTACACCATAGAAATAGAATCTCCTCTAAAACCTCTAGAAAGGAATAGTCCTGTTGACACGCTGATCTTAAGCCAATGAGACCTGTGGTTGACATCTGATGTGTTTTTTCCAGAAACTAAATTTGTAGTAATTTTTTAGAGCAGCAATGGAAAATTAATGCAATTTCTTTTACCCATTTTCTAACTGGACTGTTTTTTAAATGTTGAGTTTTGGGAGTTCCTTATAAAGGTTAGGTACTAGTCCTTTGTTGGGTTTGTGGTTTGCAAATGTTTTACCCTAGTCTATAGCTTGTTTTTTTCATCCTTTTCAACCTGGAGAGCAAAAGTTTTTAACTTTGATAAAGTCTAGTCTATCCACTTTTCCTTTATGGATCATGATTTTGATGTCAAGTCTAAGAATTCTGCTTAACCCTCCATTCTGAATATTTTCCTCTATTTTTTCCAATTATTTAAAAATTGCGATAAAATATACATAAAATTTACCATTTCAGCCACTGTTTAAGTGTACAATTCAGTGGTATATATTTATTTTTAAAGATTTTATTTACTTATTTGACAGAGAGAGCACAAGCAGGGGGAGTGGCAGGCAGAGGCAGAGGGAGAAGCAGGCTCCCCGCAGAGCAGGGGGAGCCCGCGATGCGGGGCTCGATCCCAGGACCTGAGCCGGAGGTAGTCGCTTAACCAACTGAGCCACCCAGGCCCCCGTTTAGTCTGACTGTTCTAAGAGTTCAGGAAACGTAGAGGTCAATGAGTAGTGGCAAAGTTGAGAAGTCTTAACAGATGATGTGTGACATGGGATAAGCTCTGAAAGACAAATAGTTTGGTCAGAAACTGAGGTGAGGGGGGATCAAACTGAACGGGTAATTAAATGTTGTAGTTCACAGAGGGGAGTAATCACTTTCAGCTGATAGTGTGGCACAGCTGACTAAGACATTTATCAGTAATGAAGTCTAATTCAGCTATAAAGCAGCTTGTGACTTTGGCAAATCATTAATCTCTTAAGAGACTCAATTTCTTCAAATGAAAAACATGGGGAGATGAATGCTAAAGTTCTGCCCAGGTCTAACGTTGCTTTAGGATACTTATTAAGATTCTTTTACATCAGATAACTTTTTGGGTGATAAGTTATAATTAGCGAATGACTATATAGTTCACGGGAGTGAACTCAGGAACTATAAAATTACTCACTCCCATGAAAACAGTAATTATTTTAAGTTATAGGGAGCCCCATTACTTTATTTACATTAAATTTATATGCATGCTGCTTTTAAAAACCTGTCCATTTGTTTCATGTAAGTGTACTATGATTTTTTTCTTCTAATATAGTAAAAAACTAAAACATGAAACAAACTACACTGAAATCCTGACCTTGTTTCTTCCCTTTGCATATAGAGGATATCACTGAAAAAGGAAAATGGTCTCTTTCCTCTTGAATGTAAAGCCTAACTGCCATTTGTAAAGAACTGATTTAATTTGTTAAACAAACCTTTATTTAGTATCTGCTATGGGTCAGGCATTTGTGCCAAGAGTGATGATCATAGCAATGAAAAGTGTAGTTCCTACCTTCCATTAGTTCACAGCCTAGCAGGGAAAGGAAGGCAGGTCAGTTAACCAGGTATTTTACAGTGTGATACCATGGGAGTGCACAGATGGATCCTCTGTAATTAATGTCTGCTTTGGCCTGCCCAGCAACCACTCCCCTTTTTTCTAGAATGGTTCCTGATTTTTTCTCTGGGAATTACCCTTCCTGTCATTCTCTGTACTTGACTGGGGCTGTAGGCATGAGTCAAATCTGGCCAGTTAGAACATCTATATATTTTGGGACACAGTGATTGGTTTAGGGATCCAAGCCAAGCCAATCTGCTGCAGTTCAAGGGATCTTGGGACACAGCATGGTATATTCAGGGAACAGCAGATATTTGGCTATGGTTGGCAACTTGGGTCTGAGTGGGTAAGGTTGGGAGATAAAGCTAAAATAATAGGCAAGAACAGTTTATGAAGGGCCTTGTATGTTATGCTGGAGAATTTGGACTTTTTCCTTGAAGAGATGGAAAGCCATTAAAGGATTTTAAGCAGGGAGTTCACATGATCACATTTATGCTTTGGGAAGACAAATCTGGTGGGGTTATGAATTATTAGGGGGAAGATGAAGCAGAAAGCAAGGGAATGAATTAAGATGCAAACCAGGGGTAACCAGAGACCTCAACTGTAGGAGTGGTAGTGGGGATAGGAAGGAGAGACACAGTGGGGATGTCTGCCATGAGTTCTCCAGAAAACTCATGCCACGAGTTTCCCAGAACTGGGTAACATGATAGCAACACTTTCCTGGAGAAATTGTGCTCTGTCTGCATCTCTAATTAAGCAAATGGTAGTAAATTTCAGAGAACAAAAGCAAAATTTAAGACTGTGCTTCTGAAAGTTTAACATGCACAAAAATCACCTGGAGATCTTGTTAAAATGCAACTTTTGATTCAGTAGTTCTGGGGTGGGACCTGAGATTCTGCATTTCTTTTTTTCCCCTCTTTTTAAATTAATTAACATATAATGTATTATTTGTTTTAGGGGTACAGGTCTGTGATTCATTAGTCGTATATAATACTCAGTGCTCATTACAACACATACCCTCCCCAATGTGAGATTCTGCATTTCTAACAAGCTTCCAGACGCTGCTGGTCTGCAAACTACATTTTAAGGAGCAAAGATTTAGGATTTTTTGAGGTGTGATGGGTCATTCAAGTAAAAAGGTCCAGCAGGCAACAGGCGTAGGCCCTAAATTTTAGGAGAGACTTGGGCTGGAGATATTTCAGTCATTGGCACATAGGAGGTGGTGATGTCAGAATATATAAAGATAATGGTCTAGGAATGTGCTTGGAAAAAAGTAAAGAAACCCAAGGATAGCCCATGGGTAGTCAGTGCCAGCATTTAAGGGGCATCTGAAGGATGAGGCTTTAAAACATGGAAGCAGCAGATGAAACTAGGATGCCAAGTTTACAGTGAGAAAGCTTTAATTCCCAAACTTATTATATAAATAATAGCTGCCATTTATTGAGTGTTCTATTCCAGGCAGCGTACTAGGCTTCAACTTTTCTCCAAAACACAGGGTGTAAGAAATGTCTGTTAAAAAATTCCTCTAACCATACCCAATTACTTTGAGCTGGTGGAAAGTTTTTTGTTTTGTTTTTTTTAAAGATTTATTTATTTATTTATTTGAGAGAATGAGAGAGAGAGCATGAGAGGGGGGAGGGTCAGAGGGAGAAGCAGACTCCCCGCTGAGCAGGGAGCCCAATGCGGGACTCGATCCTGGGACTCCAGGATCATGACCTGAGCCGAAAGCAGTCGCTTAACCAACTGAGCCACCCAGGCGCCCTGAGCTGGTGGAAAGTTTAATGTGGGTCACTATTAAGGATCTACACACCATACCTAGGATTGTATGAAGGTTCTAGGGGTCTTACTCAATCCAGTTCTTTTGGGAAAGGCCTCGTCTTCACTCAGTGCTGGTTACTAATACGCTCACTTCCCCAGCTCATTTATCCTTTGATGGTGACCTACTTTGCTGATTCAATGCCAAGCTTGGACATGGGGTCTTGGCCGTGATTAGAATCTCTCATGCCTAGTGTGCAGCCTCCCTAATGGATACTACAAGGTCTTGCCACTTCCCTTTCCCATTAGGTTCCTGATATTCACAGAACTTTCAACCCTCCTTTTCTGTTACTCCCTTTGGTTGCCACTTAACCAACCTGTAAAGTCTTCAACCTCTCTCCATTGTTCGGAGAGAGAATCACCTCAGTGGGTACAGATGTTTTGACACAAAGGGGCCATTTATTCTGCCCTGGGGCAAGGAAAGTCCCAGATCTTTGGGGTGCTATCCAGTCACCCTCTGGCATTCTACTCCTCTCTACCCCCCACCCCCCGCATTCTTTTGCAGCCCTGAGAACAAAACAGTATCTTAATATCTCAACAAATCATCTTGACACACATGCACTGACCCATGAGATCCCTACAACCGCTCCATGGGTAATCATTTTACATCCTGAAGCGTGGATGAATTTAGAAACTTGTTTCAAGTCACACAGCTATTAAGTAACTGTGTAGGAGCTATGAGCTATGTGCTTGGGACTCCGGAGCAACGAGGGCGTGGTATTATCGCAGTTCCTATCAAAATACCTTACTCAAGGTCATGTGTGAGTTGCCGTAATCAGACTCAAATTCAGAAACTTCACAAACAAGGGGAAAGTCTCTGTGTGGGTGCTCGGATAGAGGGCTGGGATTCCTTTAATCTTCGCCACAGTCTTACTATCCCGATTTTCAGATGAGAAACAGAGGCTGAAGGTGTGACTTACCTATGGCCACAAAGCCAGGGCCACGTTTACTGGCTCCTAATATATGTTCTTCCCATCATACCAAACAGAAATGGCCTGTGAGTGGCTCAAAGTCTCGACCCCAGGAAAACTCAAAGGCAAAAACACCTTAATTAAGCGTTCCTCCTTGGAAAAAAATTGGCGCATGCGCGGTATGCACCAGAGACCCCACCCTAGCGGCTTGTGATCCACTCAGTACGCATGCGCTAGGCTGTTCTTCTCACCCGCCCCTTCGCTCCGTGCTGTTCCCTCCACTCCCCGCCCCTTTCCCGCCCGGATATCAGCCTAGTTTTGGCGGATGTTGTTGTGAATCCCAGAGACACGTGAGGCGCTGCTACGTCATCACAGGCACGCGAAGGAAACATGGCGGCGGAGAGTGTTGTGAGCGGGAAGGTAAGTAACGGCCCCGGCGAACGTCCCTACTTTTCTCTGGGATGGTGTGCTTTTGTTGCTTGGAGGCCGGTTGGGGAGGGACGTGAAGGCCATTCTGTATCAGGAACAGCTTGTGGCGGATGTAAGAGAAGAGGACTTGGTCGTGTCGGCTGTTTTCTCGAGATTGCCGGCTCAGTCCGGGAATTAGAGACCGGCTCCTGCTCCAAGGCCAGCTAGGCCTCGGGCGCAGTTCTGCTCTGCACTGCCCCGCAGCAGGGGGCTTTAATTTGTATTGCTTTTTCTAAGAGACAGGCAGTTGACTAGTTCCTTTCTTTTGTGGTTCACTTTTTCCTTACTCTAGTTCTTTAGATGTACTCTTCTGACTCCAGCGTCTTTTTTTCTTTTCCTTTGAGGCGTTAATCTAACTTTCCCGTCTTTCTCTGCTTCACTCTGGTGAAGGCATCTTTGCCCCCATCGGGAGGAGCTGAAAACAGGTGTTGTGCAGCTGTGCACGTAGAAGAAAAGAGTGTATTGGATTCATTTTACCAGACTGCCGAGTTGGCTGGTGCTTATGAGCAGCAGGGCATGTTTCCACTCAGGGAGCAGGAGACTTAGACCATCTCACGCTTGTCTAGGAAGGCGTTAGTTACGGTATTTCATAGAGGTCTCTATGATGTTCTCGTGAGGAGTATCTGTGATCCTGTCTTAACTCCCTCCTAGTTCCTTAGGAACTAGGATTAGTGCGGAGGAGATATCGTTGTATATTGCCTATATACGTTCCGAGGGCACATCTTAATGCCTGTAATTTAGGACTGTCATGACATGCCACAGGCAGTATTTCCTATTGTGGGAGTATTTCGTAAACAGTTGGGTCTGGTGATGACTCATGGAAAACTAATGACTACGTATTTATTTGTCACCAATAGCTTCCTCTGGTGATCGAGTTTGAGTCATTTTCTCTGTGCTGCTCTCCTTATCCCATTTTGAATTATTTGACAATGTTTGTGGTTTGGTGTATGGACCACTAGACTTGGCCGCAGAATAACACATATGGTCTTGGTTTTGCTGTTACTTTGAAGTGTGACCTTGGGAAGCTGAGCAAGTATGACTTTTCTGTCCTTCGTAAATTTTTTCTCCAGAATAGTGGTGGTGCCAGTTGTTATTTGTATTGGAGTTGTTGGGATTACATGAAATAATAAAAACATTAAGATTTCATACTTCTACATATTGGCTATTTTAAATGATAGATTGGTCATAGTTTTTTTGATTATTCAGGCTCTTTGTCTTGTTAGTTTTTAAGTCTTCATAGCAGATGCTGATTTTCTATTTGATTCATTACATACTTGAAAGTTATCCTGCTTGATTTTCTGTCTGGACCGATTCAATTTAGGTCTTTCCAAGAAGGGATCCTTTCCATTTGAACTATGCTTCCCTCTTTCAGGCATGGATTGTTTATGAGAGAATCCTTGAGATGGTGAAGCCCAGTTGTGAAATATAAGACTTTTTTCACCCTTTCCTTCCAGTTACTCTCTTTCATATCTGACTTTTTTTTTAAAGATTTTATTTATTTATTTGAGAGAGAGAATGAGAGAGAGAGCGCAAGAGAGGGGAGGGTCAGAGGGAGAAGCAGTCCCGAATGCAGGACTCAATCCCAGGACTCCAGGACCATGACCTGAGCCAAAGGCAGTCGCTCAACCAACTGAGCCACCCAGGCGCCCCATAATCTGACTTTTTTATAAAGATTTTATTTATTTATTTATTTTAGAGAGAGATAGCGTGAGCGGGGCAAGGGCAGAGGGAGAGAGAGAATCTCAAGCAGACTCCCTGCTGAGCATGGAGCCCCCACGTAGGGCTCAGTGCCATGACTCAAAGATCAGGACCTGAGCTGGAATCAAGAGTTGGGCATTCAGCCGACTGAACCACCCAGGTGTCCCCATAATCTGATTTCTTAAAATTAGTCTTTTATTTCATAACTGTGCTTCATCATCTCATTTATTTTCACTCATTGTAATTTGACACCCATTACCATCATACCACCTAAATTATGTTTCTATGCCAAAACCTGCTCCTCTCCCAAATAATACTATCATGACGCGCAAACCCAACTTATTCTTCCCTCAGTAAGTTCAGATCTAGTTTAATGGTATCATTCAGTGGTTGCATGTAAAACAAACTTGGAGACGTCCATTTCAATAAAAATTTATCAAGAACCAAGTCCTACCAGTTTACCTTAAAGAAGTTTCTTAAATTTCTGCATACTCTTCATTCTCTGTTTTTAGTCCATTTAGTCTGCCTCTAGTCTTGAGTTCTTAGCTGATTTTTCTCCTTGTTGCAGTTTCTTTGCCCACAGTCCCCTCTCTACACCACCACTGGAGGGTTGGTTGGTTGGTTTGTTTGTTTTGTAATGTACAAATCTGATTGTTTCTTGCTTTAAAACAACAAACAAAATCTGGGGCACCTGAGTAGCTTGGTTGATTAAGCATCTGATTCTTAATTTTGGCTCCGGTGGCGATCTCAGGGTCATGACATGGAGCCCTGCATCTGCTCTGCACTCAGCTTGGAGTCTGCTTGAGATTCTTTTTTTCCCTCTGCCTAACTTCACACTTATTGTGACGTCAGTCAAATTACTTACCCTTTCTGTGCTTCAGTCTCCTCGTTTGTAATATGGGGATGATATAGTACCTACTTTATGGGATTGTGGAGAGGATCAATAAGTAAATATATTAGAAGAAATCCTAGCACGTGGTAGATGCTGTGTAGGTGTTAATTCGTAATCTCAATTTCTCTGCAAGTCATTGGGTATAGCAGAATTTTAAAGATTTACAATATGGTTTTGGTATGGGTATAAACTTCCATTTTTGAAGTTAGCTCTACCTCTGATTCTCATTTTTACTTTAGGAATTGAAAAATACCTTGTTTCAGAAATCATGTAGTTTTGATGAATGAAAAATCATCCTAATTGGGCAGTGGGTAAGGAGATGGAGTTTGATTGTCTGGGTTCAGACCTCTGGTTCCACTGCTTTATGGCTGTATACTTTGGGCAAATTTCTTAACTTCCTTGAGCCCAGTGTTCTCATTTGTAAATGAGGAATAATTATATTTCCATCATGGAATTGTAAAGAGGATTAAATGAGTTAATATTTGCAAAGCATTCAGAACAGTGCCTGGTGTCAAGTAAGTGCTCAATAAATGTTAGCTGCTACTATTGTTAAGGAAAATCTTTCATATTTCTTAAACATTATAAAATTATCATTGGTTAGGAAATAGTTGAATATTTATTTTTGCTGCCGTTTTCCACAAAGATTTAAGCTGCTCACAAATATAAAAGCAATATAGTTATGTAAAATACATTAGAAAAAAAAGTAAAAGGAAAGTAAGGGTAAAAAAGGTAAATGGTACTGGAAGTATATTTATTAAATAAACTGTATGCTTTAGTGGGGCACAGTTTAGCTCTTAAGTTTTTTAGCAGCCAAAGTAAAGAGGGGAACCTGATCCATTATAAGGATGATAGGATCCACACTCAAATAAAACCAAAAGTAAAACCCCAAAAATCTAGTTTCTGAAGGGTAGACCAGAGAATAAAGTTTCCTGTAGGTTTTTGTACTATGTAATATAACGTATGTACTTATATGGTATATTGCATCTTTTTTTTTTTTTTTAGAGATTATTTGAGGGAGGAGGATAGTGTGACAGCCTGTGGGGGGAGGGGCAGAGGGAGAGAGAAACTCACGCAGACTCTACAATGAATGTGGAGCCTGATGTGGGGCTCCATCCTATGACCCCTGAGATCATGACCTGAGCTGAAACCAAAAGTCGGACACTCAACCGACTGCACCATCAGGTGCCTCTGTATCTTTTTGGTAAGAAAAAAGGACCCTGTAATGCCTCTAGGATGCTGATAGTTTTATGCCAGTGGGTAGTTCAGTTGTTACTAAATACAGGGTACCAATTTGACATCTTCAGGTCTCTGATGATTTGACTAAATCAAGGGTAGGTTTTTGTCAGCATGTGGATGAATTCAATTTTACATGAATATTGTTTTTAGCTGAGCTTTTGAAAATAGGTTTGAGTTTGATTAGAAACCCTGATTAGTTTTTAGAGTTCAGCTTTTTTTTTTTTTTAACTGTCTGTAGAACAATATGTTTTAACAGTCAACCAACCAGAGAAAGTGACATTCTCTTGTGAATATTGAGGGGAGAAACAGGGACACTGCTTGTAAAGACCATCCTGTGTCTTCTATAACTGGTGGACAGAATTGAATTAATAGAATGAGTTGAATTTACCTATCACAGAAAAGGCAGGAGAAAGGAGATAGCCTGAAATAGGTTTTGGCCTTAGACCCATTGCTCTGATTGTTAGTTTACTTTCATTCATTTATTCAACAAATATTTATTAAGCATCTGATTTGTTCCAAGCACTATATTCGGCATTGGGTGTATATCAGATAGCCCCTTACCTTCTTTCATAAAGACTTAAGTTCTTTAGAGGGAAAATACTCAGTAACACCCACCTCTTTGTCTTGTCTAAATAAGAAATGCAAAATGAATTTCACGTCCTTGAAGTAGGTGCTATTTTTAGTGAATGTTTGTATTCTGAAGACCAGTAAACTGACTCATTATGAGGGCAGGGCCTGAAGTATTTCACCTGCATCTAGCCAAGATTCTGGCACATAGTAGGTTATCAGTGATTAGGAATGAGCAAGAAGATAGAGAAAATGAGTGGGGAGAGATGGAATCACTAAGAGTCCTCTTGTCTTGGAGTTAAAAAGTTCTATTTTAGTACACTTGGGTTTCACTCTATTTTTACTGTGACTGTTTTAGAATTTAGTTCTATCGGAAAAAAACATGAAACAATTGGGAAATCAACTGTTATTTTTTAAGAGTTTGCTTTGATGGCACTCTTAGTAGGAATTCATGTAACTTGAATTTGGCTCCTTATAACTTGTAACTTGAATTTGGCCCCTTCTAATTCCCTTTAGATATGCTTATAGTCCTGTAAAACCCTTGTGCTTAAGAAATGGA